AGAGGGCCGGGTGGAGGGTCGGTATGGGAGGAGGGTGGTCTGGGGACGGATAACCCAGCTGGGAGCGGTGGAGTTGATCGGAGCTTGGGCAGCGTGAAGGGGGTGATGAGGGAGCGAAGTCAGACAGACAGAATTGGAGGGCAGAGCGGTGCTTGGTGGGATGGTTAGCGCTGGGGCAGTGTGGAGGCCCGGGGGAGGGAGCTGGCGAGGGTATTGGCGATTGCAGTGTTGAGGGGCGGCTGAGGGAGGCAAAGAGGGAGTTGGGGTGAAGGTGGATTTGCAGGGATGTTTGCTTTGGGTCAAGCAGCCTTCATCAGAATGGTCCCAGCGTGGTGCCAGCGCTGGTACAGAATGTGTGTGGGGAGCCGAGGAACAGGAAGCCTGTGTGTGGAGCCGTGGCCTCCACCTTTTGCTTTGGGGGTGGGAAAGAGATTCCAGCCTGCCCCCCTTTGCTTTCCAGAGCAGGAGGGATGCAGGCCCACAGCTCTGTCTTGGCCCCTGGTGGCAGCCTGGTGGGTGTCCTGGCCACGGGGAGGGAGCCGGGGGGGGGGGACACGACTGGTTTGCACCTGCATCTCTGGCTGGGACAGTTCAGTCCCTGGGGAGCCAGTGATTATTTTGCTGCAAGTGTTGCACCAAGGCTGTAAAGGTGCTTGTCTGAGCACAGCTCAGCTCAAAGAGAGTCCCTTTGTATACACGTCCTTATCTGCAGCCAAGCTACCCATGGGCTCACTGCGTTGTCTGCTCGCCTGAGTAACACTGGGCACCTTTGTACGGAAACAAAGCCTTGAGAAGCAAAGTGCTGTGGTGTTATCTCTGGGGTGGAGCCTGCCCTGGTGCCTTGAAAAGCTCAGCCCAGGCAGCTGCGGGAAGGGACCCCCGAGGCAGGTGCCTCTTTCTGTGTCACCTTTTCCTCTAGCAGCTTTCAAAGCTTTCAGCTTTTTGTGTGCAGAACTTTGACAGAGGCTGTTTCCTCTGCTTTTGCCTCTCAGTTGACTTCTTGATCAGTTTTTTGTTTTGTTTTTTTCTTTTATAAAATAACCTCACAGACAGCACTGTCTTGCAGGATAGCCAAGCTGCTCGCAGGCTTTTTATTCTTCTTGAGCCTGATGATTTAACGCAACAAGTTTCCCCAAATCACAGGCAGTGCATTGGGAAGAGAAAGTTCCTGGGTGACTGCTAGTGGTGTTGCAGCTTCATCCATTAGAAAATACTACTGTATGGAGGTTAATAGTGTGTGTCAAAAACGCTCGTTCATCATAATTCCATGTTGAGGCACTCTTCCTGCTGGAGAGAAAATGCACATGCGTCCCTGTCTTGGTGTAAAAGTGGAGGCGGCAGTCTGTGGGTTTAAATGCACCTTGAAACCCCGACTCCATGCAACCAGAGCTGGGGTTGCTCGCTCTGCACTGACCTGCAGGCCCCCAAAGTTTCTATTTCACTGTACAGCAAAACCTCCTTGCTTCTGCGTCAGCACTCTTGCCTGGCATACCGATTGCCCCTGGATCGATTCTTAGTGCAGCTGATGTTGCTCTGCTTCTGCCTCTTACTCATCTACGGCACGTTCTGTTCTTTAGATGTCATTTCTAGATAAGTTTTGTGCCTTGAATGTGTTGCTGGAGGAGAGGAAGTTATTTACTTCTGCATTTTCTTCTGTGCTCGTGCTGGGGCCCTCCTTTCCAGGCAAGTGCAGGGCACAGACAAAGGTCCAAGATGTGTAAGGAGGTGTATTTTTTTTTTTTCTTGATTTCAAGTCTTTAAGGGAGTGGGTGTTATGCAATGTTTATTCATGTGAAATTTCTTTTCCCTCTGGCCACAGTTTTGGGGTTGTTCCCGTGGCACTGAGCCTGGAGGCAGGGGTGAATTTGCTGTATTTCACTGTTTTGGTGATGGTTTTCCTAAGGTGTGTCTTGGGTATGGACACAGAGCAGTGAGGGCAAGGTCAAGCCTTGAGAGACTCGGTGACTGGGAGGAGTGACTCTGGGTACTCAGACAGAGTTGGTTTTGAGTTATCTACTCTAGAACAGGAGTGGGGCAGATGCAACGCACAGATTTGTCCCTAGTGGTTGTCTCGGAGCTGGGAGTGCCTGGTGGCTTCAGCTCCAGCCTGGGAGTCGGGCAGGGCGGGGTTTGTTTCCAAATCCTTTGCTGGAGACTTGTTCTGTGATGTGGGCTGTGTTGCTTCCCTCTGCTTCCCGTGGCCATGCTGTGGCCATGATTCAACAGGCTCCCTGCAGAGCTCTCCTGGGCCCTCAGGTGAGAGACACTTTGCATTTTAGAACTCAGTCACGTTTAGAAGCTAGAGCTAATAACTGCTCCTAACGTTATTGTCATACAATGTATGTCAAAGTGTGCTCTGTGTGAAGGTCCATCAACTGCCTCTGGAGTTCCCAGTGCAGAAGGTGCCTTGGCAGGCTGCAGACAGAGATCAGCACTCAAGGCGGGGCCTAACCCATGTCTAAGAGTCCTCCCTTGACAAGGTCCTTGGGGCTTGGCAGCATCCACCCATTTGTAGGGTAATTCATAGCATAGCATTCCAGGTTGGAAGGGACCTCAAGGATCATCTGGTCCAACCTTTCTAGGCAAGAGTACAGTCTAGACAAGATGGCCCAGCACCCTGTCCAGCTGAGTCTTAAAAGTGTCCAATGTGGCTCTGACCCACCGCGCTCACAACAGCTCTACAGAGACTCAACCGAGTCCTCTTTGACAGTAAATGTTCACCCAGCAAGGACCAGGGAGGTCGCCTAGGCAGCGTCTTTATCTCAGTGCATCAAACGTGATGCTGATACAGATGGAAGAGACGTCATCCCAACCTAAATCCAGGGCAAAGCGTGGTACGTGCTCGTCTGAATTCCAAATTTAGTTTGTTTTTGTGGGGAAAACCCATGGAAATCTCACCTCCTTGGACAGCCACCGTTGAACATTGTTATTTAGATCAAGGTGGTGACAGGTAATGGACTTGAATGCATCTGATTTTTTTTTTTCTTTATTTAGTATTGTAATTTCTTGTTTTAAATCCATTTCCTTAAACCAACCACATTTTTAAATAAAGGCCTAAAGCTACCAGAATCTGTTGAAATAACTTGAGTTAGGAATTTGCGAGTGAGACTTCCAAGCATCGAACTGCTGCAGTGGGGGAGCTCCTGGTCAGTATGAAATGAGGCAACCTGTGAGCTTTTGCAGGTGTCAAGAAAATAAACTGTTCCGTAAGCTTTTGACTAATTCATTTTAACTTGAGAATCATAGAATCGTTTAGGTTGGAAAAGACCTTTAAGATCATCAAGTCCAACCACTAACCTACCCCTGCCATCCCACCACTAAAATGTGTCCCTAAGCACCTCATCTACCCATCTTTTAAATACCTCCAAGGGATGGGGATTCAACAACTTCCCTGGGCAGCCCATTCCAGTGCCTGACAACCGTTTCTGTGAAGAAATTTTTCCTAATGTCCAACCTAAATCTGCCCTGGTGCAACTTCAGACCATTTCCCCTCGTCCTATCTCCCATTACCAGGGAGAAGAGGCTGACCCCTACCTCGCTACACCCTCCTTTCAGGCAGTTGTAGAGGGCGATAAGGTCTGCCCTCAGCCTGCTCTTCTCCAGACAGTTGCTCTGCTCCAGAGAAGTTGCTTAGAAGCTGGAGTCACGCTCGGGTTTTCCCATTTCTGATAGAAGTGTGAGGGGACGAGCTCTACCGGTTGCAAGGTTTTGTTTCTCATCATTGCTTCCCTTTGCTAACCACACAGACAGGAAAAAAAAAAAAACAACAAACAATTTAAGTGTAAAACATTTTGGTGACTGTCTTCCGTGTCTGGTGAATACTCGTTCTGTTTAACACATGAGGAGGAACTACTCAGATTTGCCGTCCAGTTTTGTCCTGCTCTAATTTAACCGACCCTAGTGAAAGTGTGGCACAGTGCTTCATTCTCGGGGTTTGGTTTTCCAGCCATACATAGCTTGCCCTAAATCTCCAGTGAATTAATCATCTATCTCAAACTGTTACTTAGTATTTACCCATTGTACAAAAGAAAACAAATTTGCATAGCTGGGGAACAGCGTGCCTTTTTTCTTGGTTGGGGGCGGAGGGAAGAGAATCTCAAATTAAATCTTTGGTTTCTTTACAGCCTTCGTTAGGTACAAATCTGCAGGGCTTCACGACTATGAGCTACATAGGAAAACAGCTGAAGCTAGAACTTCCCTGATGTAGAGCAGTTCCTGCGAGCTGGTTGGAGAGCTGGGCTGAAGCTGCGGCCGTGTGCTTTATGGTATTTCCCACTGCGGTCACTTTGGTGCTTGTCAGCTGCAGAGCTGAGCCCTTCAGACAGGGAGGCTGAGCGCTGGGTGAAACCAGGTAGTGTCAACTTTGTGTTTGTGATGTGACACGCAAAGCGAGTTCATTGTGGGGAGACTGACGAGCACCTGGAGGCTGTTGGGCACGCTGGGAGGGTAGAGGAGCTTCAGATCCTGCTGTACACCACTGAGAAATTCCTCACAGGAGTGGCTGTGGTGATCCATGGCTCCAGCACTTCAGGGGAGCTCAGCAGCCCCACTGAAAACAGAGATTGCTTCTCTGCCACCCCCTCCTTCTTGCTGACACAGGCATTTCTGTGGCTTCAGGAGAAACAGGATTGGGGAAGTGACCTAGGTTAAAATTAAACAGACAAAACTGGGTATTTTTAGCCCAGATGAGTTTCCTCACCCCATTCATTGTGCGAAGGCTGCTTGCCATGGTCAGTGGAAGAGCAGGGATCAGATCTCCTTCCTTCAGCAGCAGTGGCAGGAGCTGGCTCAGCATCCTTGCAAGCCCAGCCTGAGGCCACATGTCTCCCCCGGCATGACCTCACCTGCCGAAACTCAAGCTGCCTGACTCTGAGGAGTGCTTGGCCGATGCGGCTGGCAGAAAGCGGTACCCTTGGGTTCAGCACAGCATGGGCAGCACACCATGGTAAACCATGGCTGTCCACGTTGACTGAGCACACGGGAGGGGTTTGAGCATAGCTCCTGGGCTGCCACAGCACGCCTGTCTTCACCACCAGAGGAGGTGACTTTGCATTAATGGTGGATCGTGAACCACCTCTGTCTGGAGGTAGGCAGTGCTCTTGCTTTTGAGCAATAGGGCAGGGAACAGGAGGGAAGAGCAGCCCAGAGCTGCAAAGTGTTAGGCTTTTGCAGGTTGTTCTGTCATGACTCCAGCCTCAGTTTTCATCTCGGGTTCCTGAGAGGGGCCTGCTCTGTTATCCTCTGAGAACATTTCTCACTGCAGCCACCGGTGCTTGACACCACAGAAAAGTGGGTATCGGCCGCTGCACTGAAGAGCCGAGGTGGATGGTGTGTGCAAAATGAGCTTTTCCCTGGAGACTCACCGCAGTGTCGGATCACTCCGGCGGTGAACCGCAGGTTACCTGCCTGCAGCTGGAACGGAGACGCGCGCAGCAAAGACCTGGCTGGAAGCAGTCCTGCCCATATCTGTGTGCTGCGGGACTGGCCTGTGCTTTGTCTGCTGGGAATCCTGACATCTTGCTGCCAGCCAGCCTCCTCCAGGCTGCAGGGCTCGCTGCGAGGGAGAAACTCGGGCACAGAGGGGTCACCTAGCTGAGACGGGAGCGACGGCATGTGTGGGGGATGCCGTACACTGCTCAGCATCGCCCTGATGGAGTTTGTGGTGGGTGTGCTGCCATTGCTACGGGAGCTCTTTGATTTCATACACTCCCGCAGCTTACGCAGAGTAGCTTTTGTTAGCTGAGCAGGGCCCAGTGGTGGAGGAAATGTTCAGATAATTTTAGACATTGCTCATCATTTTTTTATTGGGGTGACCTTTCTGTAGCGAGAGCCTGCAGTCTGTCACTGAATCTGGCTCGCTCTCTCCAAACTGTGTGTCAACTCCAGCGATCTGAAAGCTCTGCTCGGAGCTTTAAGCTTTGAAATACCCCATTTCTTTTTTTTTTTCCCTCTCCTCTGGGGCAAGAGATTAGCATATCTGCATGCCTGCAGCTTTTAAAATAATTGCCGTCTTCCTTTATTGGGTACAGGCCTTAATTGTGATGTGGGAGATGCTTCAGTACTGTTGTCGGCCAAGTTTGCATTTAGGTCTGTTTAATACAGAAGATGAGGGCTCTGTATAATTACAGTCTTCGTTCTTCTGTTCTTAAATTTGTTGTAACATATGGCTAAGAGCCTCCATGGCCTGAGAATGAAGCGGGGAAGTTTGGAAGTTGTCCGAGTCAAAATTGAGGAAATGCTGTCAGAAAAAAAGATTTGCTGTTGCTCTTAAGTGCTTGCTGGCGTCTCTCCACGGGTGCTGTGGCTCTTCATGGATGTTCTGCCGGGGTGAAAAATCTGATTTGGAGCTGGCTCTGTATTAGATAGACAGAGCGCAGGAGCCATTTGGAGATGAATAGGAGGAATGCGGGCAAGAAGACATAAAACCTGTCAGGGCCTTTATTGTTACAGGCAGATGGGATTTGGTGTGGGTTTGACATCGAACCTGATAAGTGTTATCAGCAAATGGACCGCTGCTTGGAACAGCTGCCATTTTAGCGTCTGAGTTCAGGCAGGGTTTTGCAGAAAGGTCTGGTCTGGATTCGGTGTTTAGTGCAGAGAGGAGCCATTTCAGTTATTCCTGGTATGAACTGGTTTTATTGTCCATTCGGGGCAGAGGGTAGCAAACAGGGAAGGTTGCTGGGGGAGGCTATGATTCTGGTAGCATTGGTGGTAAGGAGCTTGCGGGGGTCCCAGCAGCTCTCTGCCTCAGGAATGGATGGGCTGTACTGTCTGAAGTCCTCTGAGCGTGGCCAGGCTTAGTCTGGTTCTCAGAGACTTCAGTCGGGATGGAAGTGAACCCCAAAGGAGCTCCCAGCTGCCCAGAGCCCTGCTTCAAAGTAAAACATGAAAAGGATGGAAGGGATTTAGAGTCACTCTGCGCCAAGCTGCTAAATTGCAAATTCTCACCATGGGTGTGGATGGGTCTCATCATGGAGGCAGGGGACACTGGAGCACGCTAGACCAGGCAGAGCTCTTTGGGATCACACCAGTAACCTGACAGTAACCAGTACCCACCCCACAGCAGCGCAGCCCCAGTCCCAGCCCTGCTGTGTGTGCATCCCCTGCGCAAACCCTTTGCCTGCACGAGAACGGGGGCGGGCTGGGAGCACCTAAACGTGGAGAGGACACACTGTGCCTCTGCAGGGTGTTCAGCATGTCCCCGCTGCTTTTTCGGGTGGTGAAAGATGGGGTTGGCAGAAGGTCGAGAGGAAGTGGTTGTGTGTGTGCGACCTGCCACGCCATTGCTCGTCCAGAACCATGGGAGGCTGGAGGTGAGAGCTCCTCTCACTTCTGCCTGGGGACTTCTTGATGGGGGAAAACAGGTCGGGTAACAAAAGGGGTGATTTTTCTGTTGTAGAAACATTTTAAACAGCCAGGATAGCTTTGGTGAGGTGAGCCAGAGAAATAAATAGAAGCGCTTTAAACTTTGAGGTTGTAAGGCTGCTGGACTGTGAAGAGCTAAGAGAGCTCGCTTCACTCCCAGCCATGCTCCTGATACCCCTCCCTGTCCTCCCCTGGGCCGGGCGAGGCCTGGGTTACTTGGGCGTGTGTGAGGTGAGGCAGAAACCCACCCTGCGGTAGATGACGGGGCCGGCGTGGCTGCGAGGAGCTCTGTATGCGGTTCACGTGAGCGCTTGCTTCACTGAGGCCATGCCGGCAAGCGGTTGAATATTCAGCACCCGAAGTTCTGCCCAGTTACCTGCTTTTCCTTTAAATATCTCCCCTCCTCGCCATCCCCAAGTACAAGAACCAAGCCACTTGGGAAATCAGTGTAAAAATAAATCCTCTAAGAAGTCGTGCTTGCGCGGTGAAAGGTTCAAAAATAGGGCTGTGTTAGCCGTAAGCTTTTGTGTGCAGAACAAAGGGTCTCGTGCAGAGCCATTAACCGACTTCGGGTACATGGTCTCGCATGGCTTCTTTAAATAACGCAATGAGTGATCTTCCTGCCATCCCCTGGGGTACCGGGCGCGCGAGCAGGGAATCGTTGTTCTTCCTGGGCAAAACCGCTCCGGTGTGTTGGCTGTCAGCTCCTTCCCTCCGTTGCTTGGAGGGAGGTGCTGTGTTTGGAGGCTCTGCTGGGAGCCGGGGCTCCGGCAGGCGTCAGCTCCATGTGCGTGGGGAATGGGGTTTGAACGGTGTAACTCTGAGAAGACGGAATGGAGGTTTAAGGATGCATCCTCTTTAATATTCCTAGCTCTCATGTGCCTGACTGTGCTATCTTTAAAGCTTCCTACATAGGTTTCTTTTTTTATAAAAATTTATACTGCCGTCCAAGCTGATTCCCAAGTCTAAGTGTGGTGCTCTAAAAGAAGAACACGTCTGCATCAACTGACCGAGTGGGATCAGTGGGATTTTCTCTCATCTCTCCTCTGAGCAGTGAGCAGAAGTGGCTTGGATGCAGCTTGGGGAATTGCTCCCCTTTCCAAGAGCCTGAGTTGAATATACAGCCTGAGCACCTCCATTTTGGGCCCGGCTGGGAGGGGAAGATGAGAGCAAGAGATGTCACAGGTAGCTGGCACAGCTTTTAAGCTAAAGTACCTGCCTTGGGTGCACTCGCACTGCTTCTTTCAAGTATGTGGGTTTTATCTTCAGCAATAGCACAAAAGACAGAGGTTCTCCAGCCTCCTGACAAGAAGGGCTGTTGCTTTTCACAGCTAGTAACATTTAAGAAGTAGCAACACCTCATCGTTTCTACTTAGGATCCTAGCCTGGGGGTTAATTCCTCCCTTTCCACCCGAGTAAAGTGTTGACCCAGTGCACGGTCTGGGATCGGTGCTGTTCAGTGCCTTGGTCCCCCTACATTGCCCATCTTGAGTTTTAGCATGTTGTGGTCACTCCTGGCTTCCAGGAATGAGGCTGTCTGCAGGAAGGCTGCTGGAAGATCAGTGCTTTCTGCTGGGGAAAAAAAAAAATCATTAAAACCTTTACAGAATATGGTGAGGGAAAGTAGATACCAAGTCATCACTTCCCCTACCTTTCTCAGTGTATGTAATGAGGCGAGGCTGGTACCCAGCAGCATAGACATGCACGGACAGAGCACATTTTGGCTAAAAGGTTGAAGTTGGTCTCTGGGCAGCAGCAGCATAGTTGAGACTACAAGGCTGCCTCAACACATTTGCTTTGGTTTGGGGAGTTATTTCAGTACGTTGGTTCAGACGGGCCTGAATGAACTGTTTTAGAGGCTAGATTTCTGTTAGCAGCAGCATTAGCCTGTATTCTGTTTAATATTGGCCGTGTTTGAAAAATAAGTGGAGACAGGCTGTGAAACAGCAGTAGCAGGCTGGCATTTTTGTCCTGTTCTCATTTCCCACCCCTGCTCTCAGCAGTGGAGGTACCTTTGCATTGCTCCCTGTTGGAGAATGACCTATTAATACCAGTCCCCTCGGAGCTGCCAAAGCAGTTATGTAGTGCCAGTCCCAACAAAATCACTTTTCAGAAGCACTTAGATCTTTCACGGGATCCTACTCATCTACAGATCATGGACAAGCTGGCAAATAGCATTTGTTCAGATGTTGTTAAATCTTCATACCCACAGCGTAAGAAGTGATGTGCCTTTGGCTCGCAGGGTGCTCTTGTTGCTGATCAGGGATCCCAAAGACCGCGCCGGGCAGTGTTAGAGCAAACCCAGATCTACGTTTTTTTCCTGTGGAGGTAGTTGGCATAGTGTTGGGGTATTTCAGAAGGGACGTGGTGGGGCGGGATGAAATGCACACCTGGGAAGTTTCCTTCTGTGGTTTGCTGATAGCCCTGAAATTGGAGAAGGGGTCTTCTCTTGCGAGTGAGTTATATCAATGCGTTTGCAGAGTTGCTGCCCATGGTGAAGGGGGCACTGTGTCAGGAAGGATTGCTCAGCCTCTAAGTCCCTTCTGTGAACTGGTATCATAGCAATTTACAAAAGAGCCTCTGTCCCCCAGACCTGTGTCATGACTGTTCTGTACGGAGAATGCCCTTGTTAATAAAAAATACCTTCGTGATGAGTAGTTTTCTCAGACATTTCTAACTGGAAGCCTGCACTCTCAAAATCTATTAATAAACTACAAATAATAACAATCTCTGACAGCTTCGAGGCCTATTTTGTATCATCTGGGGTAAAACTGGTGCTTATAGGAATGGGGAGAAGTCCGAGATTTCTTGTCAAAGGTTATCTGCTAGTTGAACAGCTGGACTTAGAAGGGTTTTCAAGTAGAGCTACTTGTGAGAAATAAGGCATTAGAAATTAATCCTCTTTCCTTCACAGCTTGGATGCTGAGTTTGAGTTCTCATTTACCTCTGTTTTCTTTGCTTTTTAGAAATAAACCAGAGGCAGTAGAAGTAACATTTGCAGGTAAGCTCCACAACTCTTGTGACTTCTCTGAAAAAAGGGCTGGCTTGAACAGCCTGCCCACAGTTATGCTCAGCATGCCCGAATTCACCCAGCACTACTGCTGGGGGAGGAGAGGCCACGCAGGGACAGACGGTGTGGACTCCCTGCAGTGTCGCCAGAGCTGGGGCTTTGTTGGCTGCCCCACTATTTTCTCTGTCCATCCGCCTTCCCTAGGACTTTCCTCACAGCAGTGAGTTTAGTGGTGGCAGCACTTTAAGTGTGTGTGTGCTACACAGATCTCTTACCTCGCCTGTTCGCCAGTCCTGCCCTTGATGCTACTTGTTATTAGGTCTTTAGCACCATTGGGTTTGGGTTGATAGAAAGCTGGCTTGGGGTGACAGGCAAGATGAATTCATTGCCTGAAGTTTGTTCTCCAGGATGAGAAGTGCCAAGGAAGTTCAAGTGTTCATTCAGCAACTGGTTTGGTTTTTTTTTTTTTTGCTTCTGTTATCAAGAATCTGTGTAAGCTGCAGAGCTCTGTGGGGAAGTGGAGCTTGCTAGGTAGCTAGAGGGTTGCCTTTCCCTGCCTCCTGCCCTCCCTGCCCGTTCTGCAGTGAAGTGGAAGCCGTCTCAGCAGGCAGCGGCTGAACTGCCTTCGCTGGCAGAGATGTTTTCTCCTCCAGGCTGCAGCTCTGGCCCAGTGGGCATGTCAGTCACTTTCCAAGCTGGCCATCCAGAAGGCTCCCATCTCTGCATGTTTGTATCTTTGTGCGCTGAGCACAAGCAGATTTGCCAGGGATACTAAATGACGCTAGACTAAAGCTTTCTGTGATGGACAGGTGTCAAAACTGTTTCAGCCCTTTGAGTGATAACAGGTCTGTCTATGTGACATTACCACTTTCCTTAATTACAGGTTTCTCTCTTGGTATATGTTTGAGGGCTAGAGCATGGGGAACAGCGTTGCTTTATGTAGTTCCTAGAACAGGTAGGGTAAACCATCCTCAGAAGTAGGAACTGGTTCCTGTTCACATTTCTCTCATTTGCTTCACAGACTTTGATGGAGTCCTTTACCATATTTCAAACCCTAATGGAGACAAGACAAAAGTGATGGTCAGTATTTCTCTGAAATTCTACAAGGAACTCCAGGAACATGGGGCTGATGAGGTGAGTGAGCATCTCTGGGCCTTGAGCCTGCAAATGCTTAGCATGTCTTAGCATGGGCAATGTCCTTGCGATGTTAACGCGTCTAACGTGTAACCTTTAGAGAAGCATCTGTGCTCCCATCTCATGCTAATCAAAGGAGCAGCCCTGTGTCAACCAGGAGTCCCACTTTGCTGCAAGACAAGGGCAAAGTTTGTTCACACACTCATGAATAAGAGGGCACCTTATATGACCCTCCAGCCTGGAAGGCAAAAGGCACCACTAATTTTGGAAGTCCAAATGAGCATGAGGCCTGGCCATATAGAAACAGTTTCCCTGATTGATGTGCTGAGCCTGTGAGTGAAGGAAGGCGCCAAGACAAATCCGGAGTCCCGTGGTGCTGCTCTTCTGTCTCTGACCACCCTCGAAAGCGAGTGATGGGCTCCTGCTGTGTGTGCAGACCTTGATCTGCAGGCCGTCTGGTTCCCTTTTCGCCGCTGCTCTGTGAAGTAGCAGGTTCAGTTCCTGTTGAATGGGCCGGGGCTGCGGAGGGCCATTTATGGTAGAAACAAGGAGCCTCTCTGAGCTGTGGTTGGGTGGTGAGGCAGGAAGTGTGACTCAGTTCCTGAGTCAGTTTTCAAATCTCCTCATGTTAGCAAATGGGGTTCACCCAAAGCTCTTCAGCAGGTTTTTGCCTCTGGGTGTTTGTCCTTGGAGGAAAACAAGGTAACTGCTCCATGAGTTTATTGAGAATTTGGTAAGAAACAGGGGATTTGAACCCAAAGTGAATTCCAGCGAGTTGCTGCAAGACCTACCGATGTCCGAATAAATATGATGGAGTCTCCTGCTTTCCTGGTTCCTATACACAGAGCTTTCTAGGAGCAGCATTGCCCGCTACGGAACAGGGTAGCAGGAGCTGCCCCACTGAGGGTACTGCTGCTGGCAAACAAAGAGTTAAGCAGCCCAAATGGTGGAGCCCTCCCAGCATGTTTAGCAAGGATCAGCATGCTGCCTGATCCCAAGAGAACCACTGTGGTGGGCGAGTGGCTGACACCACTGTGCCCCAGCAGTCACTGTGGTGCCGTCTAGAGAGCTGTGTTCCTCTCTCACCCTGGCTGCTATGCCAGGCCCATTGCTCCATGGGCCATGATGAGGGTGCAGGCAGCTGACAGCCAGATTCCCAAGCTTTGAGAGGAAAATGGGGTCTCTGCAGGACTGCCTTGGGAGTGCTGACTAAATAGAAATTACATTTTTAAATTGCCATTTAGCAAACTGTTTCTTTCTGTGCTTCCTTGGAGATGATGGAGCTTGTTTCTGCTCTGTCTTTGGTGAAACCCACTGTGAGGAGCACAAAGTGGTGTTCCTGCTAAGACAGAGCATCTCCCTGGGCCACTGCAGGCAGGCAGGCTCTCTGCTGAGAGGAGGTTTTGGCATACAGAGAGCCTGTACATCCTCTCTGTGTGGTAGTGGGTGTCATCCCAGGAGGGCCAGTTCTGCTACAGCATTGTTGTGTTCTCTATGAAATACCTCCTGTTCCCAGCCCCCTCATTGACACAGAGCTATGGCTCAGTTGAAAATTGCCATTGATGTAAAATTCAGCAGTGATTATGTTTGAAGAAAGGTTTTTTGCTGTGCTGTAGGCGGCTCTGCTTCTGGGAGGCATCCAAGCTGCCTGGCAGTCTCCTCTCCATCCCCATCTGTCCCATGCAAGAGTCTGAGGCAGGACGAGCGATTCCCCGGCCACACTGCACCTGACCCCTGCTCTGAGCTTGCCTTCCCGCAAGGAGAGGCACAGGGCATGCTTTGCATCTGCCTTCCAATGGTAGGGAGGGTTGTAGCCCTCAGATCTGTTGTGTTGAGCTCTGCTGACAGTTCTCCTTTGAAGGTGCAAGGCGTATGGAAGGGGTTTTCTTCTCTGCACAAGTTCAAGACTAGCAAGAACTTTAAAAAGTTCCAGTTTTGAGTCCTGTCCTGCAGCATGTGCCCTTGTCAGTGGGGTTCAGGGAGCTCTGCCTAGAGTAAGAGCAGCCAGTAATACTAGAAGCCAATGATTTAATGTTTGTCTAACTTCAGTTAGACTGAGGGAGACAGATGCTGAATTTTATGTTTCTAAATGGAGACTGAGCATGGCCTGGGCTGCATGGGAGGAAACAACTCTGATAGCTTGTGCTCTCAATGTTTAATTTCTTTCCTAGGTATTGAAGAAAGTCTATGGAAACTACTTAGTAAATCCTGAATCAGGTAACCCTGCTTTAACATTTACTCTCTGTGTCTGTGTGAATGCAACTCCAAAATTACTTAAGTCACCTCACAAATGCTCAAAGGAAGGCTGTGCTTCAAGAGGTTGATATCTGGGGCTCTCTGTACAATGAATGGCAATTTTAAAGGTGGCTTAGGTACCTCAGTAGCTGAAGTAGCTTGCAGCACAAGCTGTAATTCTTGATGCAGCCCTCCTCCAGGAAGCCTCTGTTCCTCACAGTTGGGGTCTTTGTTCTTCTCAAAGATGCTTTGTGAGACACGGGAAAACCATGGTTACCTGTGACAGCATCTCTTCCTACTCGCTGCAAAAACTTGGGAGCAGCTCAGCCAGCACGTGTGTCTGGGAGCTCAGGAAAGAGCCCCAGGAGCGTTGCCATGGCCACGCACTGCGTTCGGGCATGGCTTCTGGTGCTTCTGGTGATGCTTGGCGTGGGAAGAACTCACCTCCAGGGCTTCTGGGAGGGCTTAAGGCAAAGGTGGGACTGTAGAAGTCTCTTTCTGGAAAATGTCTCTGGCTGCATTAAGACCCTGCATAAATTATTAAGGTTAGTGGCTGTCTCTCCCCAGGTTACAATGTCTCTTTGCTCTACGACCTGGAGAACCTTCCTGCAGACAAGGACGCTATTGTGCACCAAGCTGGCATGTTGAAGCGCAACTGCTTTGCTTCTGTCTTTGAGAAGTATTTCAAATTCCAGGAAGAGGGCAAAGAAGGAGAGAAAAGAGCTGTCATCCACTACAGGGACGATGAGACAATGTAAGTGTTCAAACCGAGCAGCACAGGAGTCGGACAGCTGTCAGTACGCTCCCCTCTCCACCACAACCTACAGCTGTGAGCAGGAAAGTCAGGAAATCCTACTGCGCCATGTTTTGGCAGGGTAGTAACAACCTGTCCTAGGCTGTCAGAAGTATCTGCTGAGGGTAATGCTTGTCCCTTGGGCTGCTGGGATGTTACACAAGCATCTCTGTTAGTGGCAGCGCTTGTGGCTGCATGCAGGAGGGAAACTGGCTGCTCCCAACAGAAATGTTTTGCTCCTTGTAAATACTGTCTCGAGGGAGGGGAAGTTTTCAGCAGCCAGGCCTGTTGCACCTACTTGATCTTGTCACATACGGTTGCTTCCTCATCCAGTTTTACTTCTTAGCTCCTGTTCACAGCTGGGTTCTCCTCTCTCTCTCACCTGCAGGTATGTTGAGGCAAAAAAGGACCGCGTCACGGTTGTGTTCAGCACGGTATTTAAGGATGACGATGACGTGGTGATCGGAAAGGTGTTTATGCAGGTATGGAAAATGAATTATGGGGAAAGGATCTGGTCCTTGGCTCAGATGCCTTCTGGCTGGAAGCAGCATTGCTGAACAAGCAGGTGTTAGGCTGAAGTGAGCTCACAGGCAATTTAATGCACGTAAATACATTGGGTCCCTTACTACAGGAAAGACATTGCGTTGCTGGAACGTGTCCAGAGGAGAGCAACAAAGCTGGTGAGGGGTCTGGAGCACAAGGCTTATGAGGAGCGGCTGAGGGAACTGGGGTTGTTTAGCCTGGAAAAAAGGAGGCTGAGGGGAGACCTTATTGCGCTCTACAACTGCCTGAAAGGAGAGTGTAGCGAGGTGGGTGTTGGTCTCTTCTCCCAACAGGCAATAGGACAAGAGGAAATAGCCTCAAGTTGCACCAGGGAAGGTTTAGATTGGACACTAGGAAAAATTTTTTCACCAAAAGGGTTGTCAAGCATTGGAACAGGCTGCCCAGGGAAGTGGTTGAGTCCCCATCCCTGGAGGTATTTAAAAGACGGGCAGAAGTGGCGCTTAAGGACATGGTTTAGTGGTGGGACGGCAGTGTTAGGTTAATGGTTGGACTTGATGATCTTAAAGGTCTTTTCCAACCTAAACGATGCTATGCTTCTACAAATGCTTTGTGGGGCTCCAGGCTGCATTGGGATGGAAGAACCATGTTAATAGGCATAGGTGGCGTATTTTCTAATCCAGGCTTTTGCATTGGCATCTCTGTATCAATGGTCTTGCTCATATGGACAGCCAAACATATGCATTACAGATGAGAAGCACCACAGTGAATACCTCAGTATCCACACTGAGGCCCTGTAGTGCAGCGAGCTGTGGTGTAGGGATCACCAGCCAGCTGAGGAGCTGAGTTGGGGGAGGAGGCTGTAGAGGGAGAAGAAGGGGTGAGGCGATGTTGTGCTGCACCTGGGATGGTGCTGAGAGTTGCCTTCACCTCAAAGTTTGTTCCTGCTAGTGTTCAAATGCTGCAGAGACACTTGGCAGCTCAGTGTGATTGCTCTCGTATGCCATGATGGGCTCTCAAGTTTGAGCTTTTCAAAGCTATGAATTTGCTTAGTTTGCGGGCTTGAATCAATCGTCATAATGCCAAGTACTTCTGGACTCAGCTACCCTTTGCAACTGCCATTTAACCGGGAAGTGTTCAGAGGCCCGCAGTAAACACTGTATGTGTCCGTTAGCAACTGCGTGCAGCCTGTGGAGATTGAGGCATTTGCTTACAGCTGGGGAAGGCTCGGTGCCTGCTGGTACATGTGTTCATCCGTGTCGCTGGCCTGCCTAGCTCACCTTGTGTCTGCTGAAGCACTTGGCGAGCCTCCTGCTTGGGCACGGCCATGGACCAGGGCCCTGCAGGGTGTTCCAGGGCTGGAGGAGCTTTAGCCCATTTGTTCAGGGGTGCCAGGCTGTGCTGCTGACAGGCTTGTGCACAGCAAGTTACTGGGCCAGTTTGCTGAATACCAGTTTACCTGTGTTGGAGGTCATTAGAACAGGATCTGTTGCGATGGGAGTCTTATCTTGCAGCTCTACTCTCTGTGTTCTTTAGCTATGGGCAGGGCATCTGCTCTGGCTTTGAGCTTTTACCCACCAGCATATCCCACAGCCTGGAATTCAGCTTTTAAAACAGGGAGGGAGGCGTGAGGTGAACAAACCAGGGTTTGTGAGGCTCCTGGGGAGGTGGCAGGGCTTCAAGGCAGCATCTGTCCCAGAGTCTCCATGTCCCAAGTTCTTGGTTTTTACAACAGCAAACCCTGCTCCTGCCCAGCCACAAGAATTTCCACTCTGAGTCACGCTGACTGCTTCCCTCCAGCTATTGCTCTTGCATAATGCAGCCCAGTCAGGCACGGTGGCTTCTCATCTGGGCTCTCATGGAGAAAATCTGGCCATTTACAAACCAGTGAAGCTATTTGAACCATTTCACCCTCTGGCATAAGTAGGCAGAAGTACAACCTAAGCATTTCATTAAGGAAACCCCCGTGAACTACTCGGTTCTCCAAAAGGGGAATGGATGCTCCTGCCCTTCCCTGGGTGAGCTGTGCTCAGAAGAGAGGAGAGGCCCAGGGTGGCTGATGGTGTGTAGGTTGGGCTGGGAGTCACTGAGGCAGAGGGGAGGCTGTCCCACCTTGGGACAGGAGAATGGTGTTTGGACTTTCCCGGTCCTGTGTAGGGACAGTCCTATAATTCCTGAAATGCGGAGCCAGTTCATTTCATGTGAGGTGGGGGGCTCATGCTGCTGTCAGAGAGGTTCCCTGGCAGAAGGGATCTCCCTGCCTGAAGGTACTGTTTCAAGGTGTAGAGAAGTGTTAGGAGAGCAGGCTTTGAGCACAACCTTGAAACCCCATAGATTTACCTTAATGCCTTCAAACCCCTTAATGCCGAGGCAAAGACTCCTGGTGGGAGATGCTTTCTCAAACAGCAGAGCCTTTATGCTATGTGTGATGGAGGCCTCACAGCCCTTTCTGAGAATTTCCTTTCCTCTGGGGTAATGGGTGCTGCCCACTTTCACTGGAAGCATTGATGGTGTTGACTTCCCAGCAGGAGCTGTGCTGTCTCCTGTGCTTGCTGAGACTGAGGTGTCCCTTCCACAAAACACCCGTGGCAGCAAGTGTGATGCTGAAAGCCACCCCAGCTGAGGGGGCTGCGCTAGGGCCATGTGTAAACCCGGGACAGCCATGCACTTTGGTCTGGTTTTGCTGGGAAGAAGGATTGTTTTCCAGAGGTTTGTCCTGATGGACTCAGCCCATTCAGGAAAAGCTGGGAAACCTCCTGCTCAGTTACCCTGTGGGAGCGGGGAAACCCCATTTTCTTTCCCACTGTGTTGCTGGAGTGTTGCAGTGGGACTCACCTTCACTTTGTCTTGTTCAGGAGTTCAAGGAGGGTCGCCGGGCCAGTCACACAGCCCCACAGGTGCTCTTCAGCCACAGGGAGCCGCCCTTGGAGCTGAAAGACACAGACGCAGCCGTTGGCGACAATATTGGCTACATCACCTTTGGTAAGCAGGCAGCTCTGAGGTCTGGCGACACTCGGGGAGGAGAGGGGTTCCTGCTGTTGCATGAAAAACAAAAAGGAATTCACCTTCCCTGAGTGTTCAAGTGGGTCATTGGGGGCTGAAAGGACTCTTGAGTTGCATTCTGCATTGTGTGCCCCCTTCGGTGTGTCCCTTTGCTTTATCAGGTCATCTCAGCTCTGTTGTGGGCAAGAAGGCGTGGAAGTCGACAGTGAGACATTTAGTGTCTGCCTACAAAACACGTTCAGTGTTTGGGAGCAAGGGAAGCGTGGCTTTGCTGTGATATTGTGGAAACTGGAGGTTTCTTGTGGGAGGTTTCATGCAGGTTTATTTGTAGCTTGTCCAGCTGCAGGCACCTGTGCAGTGCTTGATCTGCAGAGGCAATCAGAGAGCAGGAGCAGGGCAGTGAGTTCTGTTTCTCCAGCTCTGCCTCTTTGCTCTGGTCCAAACGCTTCCCCCTCTGATGAACCGCTTTCGCCTGCCTGCAGAGGTGCTGGCCAGCAGAGTCATCGCTTCCTCCTGGGCAGCAATGCTGAGGGCTGCGCTGAATGGTCCAAACCCTGCCCTGTTCAAAGGGAAAGGTCTCTTCCAGAGAAATTGGAGGCCATGTTTGGATGTGCCATTAGGGTCTCTCAGGCCAACATTCCTGCAGTTGGGAGCTGAGGTGGAACACAGACACTGCAGGGAAGGGTGAAGTTAGCACTGCCTTCCACCTGTGCTGGGAATGGCGCCTTGAGGTTAGGGCAGCTTGTCAGCTATGGGAGGGCTGTCTAATGGCAGTTCTGGGACAGCAAGCAAGACTTCATTCTTGTTAAGACAAAATTTCCCTGTTATCTGATCTGACAGTCCCAGGTGAGATCACCCAGACAAAAAGGTCTTTCAGCCCTCGGATCTGGGACGCTTAGCACAGAACCAGCCTGTGTAAAGAGCCAGCCACCGGGCCCCTGCGGTAACCAAGTCTGGCTCTGTCACAGGGCTGAGAAGCTGTCAGGCAGGGATCCACAACTGATCAAGATCTAAAGGCAAGACTGGATCTTGAAATCAGCTGAGCAGCCTGGCTGCCCTTATCTGCCTCCCAGCTCTCTCTGTTTGCTTCTCCCAAGCACTGAAGCAGCACCACAGTTTCCTGCAGTGCCGTCACCTCTGGGCACTTGGCCTTGCCTGCATCCTCTGGAGCGCACAGCTGTGTCCAGGTGGCTGTGGGAGACATGGAAAAGTGCTGCTAAGCCCTGTGCTTAAAATCACAAGTGTTGCTTAATCTCAGTGTGTGTCACAGTAAAGGACTCTTTGTAGAGAGCAAAGCAGGCACTCGGAGCAGCACAACCTGAAGCCCTTGGGTAACCTCGGGAGGCACTAACGGTTTGTGTTGCCCTCTTCTTTCAGTGCTGTTCCCTCGTCACACCAATGCTGCTGCCAGAGACAACACCATAAACCTGATCCACACATTCCGGGACTACCTGCACTATCACATCAAGTGCTCGAAGGTACCGAGGGGACGGGGCTGGGGGATACAGGATAGCTTTGGCTCATTTAACCTCGATGCTGCAGGGGAGCAGCATGGGGCACGGGTGCCCCCCTGAGAACTCACTGGGGTCTGGCATTGCCCTTCCCGGTAATGCAGGGGTGGCAAGTGATGCATCATCACCTTCTCCCCGCTCTTTGGAGCAGGCAGTGTCTGTTTGCTTCCCATCTTAGCAGCAAAGCAGGATTTTTTTCCCTTTGGGATCTGGTTTCCTTTCTTTCTGGGAACAGAAATGAGGGTAATTGTTCAGAGAGACCTGGCTTTGACCAGGGCTCAGGCAGCAATGTTCACCGTTGCCTCCTGAACTCCCTCATAGCCCCGTGGCTATGCAGAGCTAGGTGCTTTCCCAACAAGGAGCAGAAAGAAAGCTCCTACCCTGTGTCCTGAAATCACAGCTATGAAGACAGGATCCTGACATGTCCCCATTTTGTCCTAATGAAATGCAGGCCTATATTCACACGCGTATGAGGGCGAAAACATCGGATTTCCTTAAGGTGCTGAACC